GTGAGTAAACACCTCACTGGAAGAGATGAGGTTTTTACTCACGAAAGCTTATGCCCAAATAAATCTGTTAGTCTTTAAGGTGCCACCAGACTCCTTGTTGTTTTTGATGGTGTAGCTTTAATTTTTTGTTTTTCTGTTGATTCTCTTGTCTGGCTTTTGAATCCCTTCCCACTCTCCTGACAGCATTTTCCTTTCTTTATTTTGTAGCTTGAAAAAATTGTTGTCCTGGTTTCTTTTGTGTTCTTTGAACTGGTGTGATTTCTTGCCACATGGGCTGTAGTCTTTCAGTCCCAGTCTATTCTAACGCTGCCTTGTCTGCTGAGTTTCAATGTGCTGAGCTAGTAGGCCAGAGATGATAATCTGCAGTGCAGCTGTCTATAACACAGTTAGTGCTGTTTAATTCCAGGCAGGCAGAGAAGGTCTAGCCAAGGAAGAGGATGCCAGGGCATACAATAGGTGAATTGAGATTTGTCTGTATCATGCATTTATCTCCTGCTGTTGTTTCCTAGATGTGTAGGCAGGGCCGGCTCTGGCTTTTTTGCCGCCCCAGGCAAAAAAGCCTCCGCCCCCCCCACCCCCACCCCCCCAGCGCGGCAGTGGAGGGCGGCCAGAGCGCCGGGGGAGGACGGCGAGTCCCGGTCGGGGCTCTGCTCTCCCCGGCGGCCAGAGCCGGAGCACCGCGCCGCCCGCCTCCAGGTGCCGCCCCAAGCACAAGCTTGGTGGGCTGGTGCCTGGAGCCGGCCCTGGGCTTGGGATACTATTTATCTCCTCACTGAAAGAGTAAGCATGGTGCTAGGCGCTGATCAGACTATTTGGAGTCAAAGAAGCTGAACTTGAACTTGTTTAATTGTGGCCATTAATATCAGATAGCATGTAGTTTAAATTTGAAAGCCTTCTTTATCACAAGAGGACAGGATACATAGCTGCTGTTACGCAACTGTGCTGTTGCCTTTTGGTCCAGCTGTGTGACACATGTAACTGCTACTGGCCTGAGAAACTTGTACTGTGTGTAGCTGCTAACCAGCCATGATCCAAATATCAGACAAGCCGACGAAAGTCCAGTGTAGACTGACTGTTAGTGTCTCTGTGCCTCATTTCCCCATTTGTAAAATGGGGATAATAGCACTGCCTTTCTTCAGAGGTAGGTTTTGAGGATAAACTTATTGTTTGTAAGGCAATCAGATATTATGATGATGATGGTCAGGTAAGCAGTCAGAAAGAAAGAAATGGTCAGAACATTTCTGTCACTTGTCTTCAGGAAATGAAGTCATATCTCCAAAACTGTTAGTCAGAATTCTCTGCAGTTTTCCCCAGTGGCCTTGGCTTTCAACAGCTTGAAAATGCTTCCTTCTGTACAGCCACCTGCCTAGTGCGTTGGCAGGTCAGGAGCTGTTGTGTACAGTGCTGGTCTGAGCATGCAATCTGGAAGAAGAAAATCTCTTCAGGTCTTTGCAGTCTAGTTTTCCACTCCAGAAACATAGCCCTTGTAAGTCACAAACATAGCCCTTGTAAGTCATTAGACTGAGGGTTACTTTGCTTGACTGGATTTTACCACTCACTTCTGTGAGTGAAAAGAACAGGAGTACTTGTGGCACCTTAGAAACTAACAAATTTATTAGAGCATAAGCTTTCGTGGACTACAGGCCACTTCTTCGGATGCATATAGAGTGAAATAAATATTGAGGAGATATATATACACACATACAGAGAGCATAAACAGGTGGGAGTTGTCTTACCAACTCTGAGAGGCCAATTAAGTAAGAGGGAAAATTTTTTTTTGAAGTGATAATCAAGCTAGCCCAGTACAGACAGTTTGATAATAAGTGCTATG